GAAGTGTGCCTGCCAGGCATGTAGAAAAGAAGAGTGTGCCTGCAGGCTTGCAGAAAAGAAATGAGTGCCTGCAGGCATGCACCAAGAAGTGCATGCCTGGCACACACTTGAGTTTACAGAGTAGTTCCCCCGGAGTTATTTTTGGCCCGTCCCGTTTATTTTTTGTAAAAAAAAATGACGGAGGGACGGGCAAATAGTATGATGCATGCTGTGCGTCCGTTCGTTCGTCCGTTCGTTCGTCCGAGGACTTCCCGTGGTCCGATCTTGACCAAATTTGGCATACAGCCTCCTTGGGTGACCCTAAGAACCGCCCGGTGGCAGCAAATCCGATCCGAGCCCCGGGGGCGCTGCTGCAGGTGCATCATGGTCTACATGGGGTCGAGGAGGATTTCGGCAACGGATACAGCTAGGAGGGCATGTAGGGGTATTTTTGGAATCGGAGCGACGAAACAAAACCAACGGTGCCAGTTTCAAGCGAATCGGAGAAGTTTGGATCCGGGTTCAAATCCCAGTGGGGTATATTATGAACATTCTTTTTATCCGAGTTTTTGCATTGTTTCTGATGTTTTTGAGGGCGCTGATGACGAAAATAACATCTATTTCGACCCCAGACTCAGGTTCAAACCCGTCAGGGTTAAACAAAGGCGAAATTAACACATTTGTTAATGTACGGGACGGGCCAAAGTTGCCGATATTTATCGCTACTTTTCCTGTTATTATACTGCAGGATTGTTTACGTTACTCTCGTAGCGCGGAACGATTTAAGTGGAAGAGCTTTTCACTAAATTGTGCGTGTCGATTTGCATCATTCGCAACAACGCACTTTTTCGTGCTTTCAAATTCTTGCATTTCAAGTTCCATGCTGAATTTTGTTAGACGCTTAATGTAGGGTAGTTCTTTCTCAAATCGCACGACCCCCGAAATCGATGTCTCGGATTCGGACCAAACTTGGTGGACTCATTGCTTGAGTCACCAAAACCAAGTTTCTGACCCCGAAAAACTTTTTTTTGCTCTAAAAATATTTTTTTCCCCTTAAAGTGTTAAAAAATGGACCAAAAATCGAATTTTCGTCCAATTGACCCTACATTGTGCAAAGTTGTTTTTTCAACGTCTTTTTATCTTATTTTATCCTATTTTATCCTATCCCACTCAGAAATGATTTTTAACACCACTAATAACCACGAAAAACGACAAAATTTTAACGTTTTCTTGAATACCCAAAAAATGCATCCGAATTTTTTCATGAAAATTTGTTTTTAAATTCATCTTTTGGTCCTCTAACATGTGTCAAAAAATTGGGAGAGTTAAATTTGAATTGCCTTTAAAATAATTTTTTTCCACTTTTTTCAAAGAAAATTTTCACTGAAATGACTCAATTTATCAAGTTTTCAGCAAGACTATTGAAGTCTCATGGCTCCTGGGTCCTCCTGGATGGGCAGGGATGTTGGAAATGTATTACTGAGTAGATAGTAGCTTCAAGATGTTTATTTTTAATTATTTTAGATGGTTGACAGGCAATACCGGTAAGTTGCCCTAGACTCCGGCCCATAGGCCCCGATCCGACCCCGACCCGGCAAAGACCCGGCCGAGACCCGTCAAAGACCCGGCCGACACCCGGTCGCCCCATAGGAATCCGGCAAAGCCTTGGCTAAGCCCCGGCAGAGTCCGACCGAGTCCGGCCACGGTGTAAGAGTGCACCACCCGAAGAGTGGTCTCCCTACACCGTAAGTCCGGACTGGGGCGGGTTCCGCCGGGCACAGTGTAGGTAGACCACTCTGTGGTGCACTCTTACACCGTGGCCGGACTTGGCCGGTCGGTCGGACTCTGCCGGGGCTTAGCCAAGGCTTTGCCGGATTCCTATGGGGCGACCGGGTGTCGGCCGGGTCTTTGACGGTCTCGGCCGGGTCTTTGCCGGGTCTCGGCCGGGTCTGGGCCGGGTCGGGGCCAAGTCGGGGCCAAGTCGGGACCGGTCCGGGGTCGGATCGGGGCTTATGGGCCGGAGTCTAGGGCAACTTACCGGTATTGCCTGTCAACCATCTAAAATAATTAAAAATAAACATCTTGAAGCTACTATCTACTCAGTAATACATTTCCAACATCCCTGCCACTCCAGGAGGACCCAGGAGCCATGAGACTTCAATAGTCTTGCTGAAAACTTGATAAATTGAGTCATTTCAGTGAAAATTTTCTTTGAAAAAAGTGGAAAAAAATTATTTTAAAGGCAATTCAAATTTAACTCTCCCAATTTTTTGACACATGTTAGAGGACCAAAAGATGAATTTAAAAAAAAAATTTCATGAAAAAATTCGGATGCATTTTTTGGGTATTCAAGAAAACGTTAAAATTTTGTCGTTTTTCATGGTTTATAGTGGTGTTAAAAATCATTTATGAGTGGGATAGGATAAAATAGGATGAAATAAGATCAAAAGACGTTGAAAAAACAACTTTGCACAATGTAGGGTCAATTGGACGAAAATTCGATTTTTGGTCCATTTTTTAACACTTTTAGGGAAAAAAAATATTTTTAGAGCAAAAAAAAATTTTTCGGGGTCAGAAACTTGGTTTTGGTGACCCAAGCAATGAGTCCACCAAGTTTGGTCCGAATCCGAGACATCGATTTCGGGGGTCGTGCGATTTGAGAAAGAACTACCCTGTACGCAGTAATTTTCTGAGAAACAAATAACAAGAGACAACGAGGGCCAAGGTGATTTAGTACTGATGTAGTGGCCTCAGGATGTCCTATAAATGGATCTTCTCAGAAGCAGTGGTGGATTAATTGTTCAAGGCAGGTTTATGAACGTTGTTGTCTGTTGCAGGATTATTTGCCGTGCTTCGGGCTTTGGGGTCGAGTTTGAAGGCCTTCCCGACTCGCCCCCATTATCGAGAGACCACCGCGAGGACCACTGTGCTGCACGGCAAGGGCATCTACAACCTGCGTCACTGAGGTGGGAGCTCCTTCCCTTTATCTGACTTTTCTGTTGTCTGTTTAATCATTTCACTGTGGAAAAGAAGATAAACAACTAAGGGAGGGTGGGGCACCATGACCACTGGGGCACCATGACCACCCCCCTCGCTCTCGGGAACTACTTTGCCGACGGCAACCGGTCGACCGGACTTTCGAGAGAATAGAATTCTAACTATTTTCAGCCAGAGCCCTACCTTCTAGCTTCAAGGGTACGACCATAGCACCTCGCCAAAATTTTTGTTACAGCGTTTTGGCTAAATTGGGCGTTTTTCAAATCTGGGATATTTTTTCTCACTCTCACATTTGAGAAGATAGGTTCGATGTCTTAGGTTTTTCTCAAAATGTCGGCTCTTCGGCAAAATATCCAACATCACATTTAATTCTAAGTAGTTGTTTGCTTGCTCGGGGAGCCTTAGAGTCGTTAACTGCACTGTGGGGCACCATGACCACTTTTTAGTGGGGCACCATGACCACACATATTTGAGTGTTTTTTCTCATATTTTGGCCTGATAATGATTTATTTTCGTCGAAAATTTGCTTTTTGCTTCTGAAAATGTAAAAAGGTTGAATAATTGCTGCAGAATAGATAGTTTTATCACAAATTTGTGATAATTTGTGAATCACCAAGATGATTAAGAATGGTTCTGAAACTGAGACTTGAAATGGTGGTTTCTCTTGCACTAAATGAGCTCCAAACCGCAAAAGTTGGCCGCGAAGGCGATCCGTGGCTACTTTGCACCAAGATGGCTCTGGCATTATGAGAAACAGCATTTAATTCACTTGTTTGCAGTGTAGTAACCGCGATAATTTTCTTAAAATTTACCAAATTGAAATCTGCATACGAATTTGGACTCGTCTTAGCAAGACAAACATAAAATGTTAACACATGTCATAGCTTTGGATGTGAAATTTGAAAGCCTTAGAGCGTTAACTGTTTTAAACCGTCCATTTCAAGGCATCTTAGAACGTTTGATACTTCGAAGGTTTTTACAGTGTTTTTTAGTTTAGTTGACTGGCCTGATGGTAATGACAGCGATATAAACAATTTCAATGAGAATACTGGTAGAAAGTACACTTTTTGGGCCAAAAAATTACTATGGTCATGGTGCCCCACGGGGTGGTCATGGTGCCCCATAGGTGGGGCACCATGACCACTTTGCGTTTTATTTTCCAAAGTGTTCTGTGAGCCTGCCGTGCATTGCAGACAAGTTCCAATGGTTGGAAGAGGTCCTTGGAGGTCCAAAGAATCCCCTCATGCTAGAAACTTAACTGTTCGAACCACACGGTGGAGTAGAGGGAGGCACAAAAAAAAAGTGGTCATGGTGCCCCACCCTCCCTTAAATCCAAACTAGATCAAAGTTGATGCTGAGGTGGTTCGGAAAAAGCGCATGCTCTCGAAAAAAGAACCGCAGTAAAAGTTGAGGAGTCCAAGGGAAACCTGGGATCTATTTAGAAGGGTTTTGCAGAAGTTTTCAACTGTTGAGTTGTCGAAAGAGACAGTTTTGACAGTAACAGTTAGAATGTAAAAGAAATTCACAAGAAATGAAGGCATGTTTTCCAAAGAGGCGACACTTTTGTGTAAAGTAACAGTTCCAAAACTTTGGCATTTTGTGGTACTGAAGCGGGCGGTGCTCTCGTGTTATCCTCGAAATCAGTTTTCCGCTTTAGCGTTAGGGAACACTTACGACAAGTAAAGATGAAAAGTTGCGTAGCAACAAAGTCACGGCGAAAGTGATGCCTGGGATTCCTAGGCGGCTCCTGAAAAATAGACGCCTCATTCCAGGGTGCGCCTGGGAATCCCAGGCGCTAGGTTTTTAAGGAGGCTCGTTAATATTTTGTTTACCTCATTTGTAAAACGCAAATCTCCCTTTCATTTCAGGAATCTATGAAGCGAGCTTGAGTTACGTGGGATCATCGACGCCCGAGTTCCTGAGATCATCAATGCCCGAGTTCCCAAGACCATCGACACCCTTCAGCATCTGCAGTGCCCTGAGCAGTTTTTTTTCTAATTTCAGGTGCGTTTCTTTATATGCTTAGGCACTGAGGTTACAATGAGGTTACACTTGGTTGAGTGTTAATGGTTTTTTTTTCTTTCCTTTTTCAGGGGGAACGCCGAGGGAATCCAACTTTGCCTACCGGACCGTCTGAAGCGGCCTATCTCGCATGCAGACCATTGAATACCGTTTGAAGCTAAATATTTTTGGTCGAACTGAACCAGTAGGGGTGACTGATTTTTCGATGGGTTTTTCTTTCGTACAAGTAATACTCTGTGGCTTGTCTCGGTGACGTTTCGGTGTTGCAAATATGCACCAAACACCAAATGTCATGGTATTTATTTGTCCCATGGCATTATTTTTTGTCTTTTGACGGCTGCAGTTTATAAGCACCTGCGATGGTGACATAATTTGTTTCCACCTGCCGACACAATTGCTGTTTTTATCCCTGAACGGACAATGTGGGATATCAGGTGAAATCAAATGTATATTGCTATTGAACTATCTGCTTAAAACTGCATCTTTCTCTGGGCATGGAAATAGTTTTCGGCCCGTCCCTTATTCACGTATTAGAGAGTGGGAGACGTATATAAAGTAGAATTCATGCTGAATTTAGGAAATCGCGAAGCTGAAATAAGAAGAAGAAAAGAAGAAAGTGCTCCATGAACATAGTTGTTGTGGGCTGCTGAACAGATTTAGTTCTGGTTGTAGTGCTTGTTCGCAGGTTATTTGCATAATTGTGTTCGTGGCCGCACTCAATTTTGCAAAGGCGAAGGTTTTTCATGCAAACATTTCAACATATTTGTACGAAGAACACGCTTGCTCAACATTGTGTGAGGCACTTACAGAATTATTTTATGTCTCGCAATAGGTGTTGTCTTGTCACTGCTGCTGTATAGTTTAACTTCGGTAGTGCGAGGACAGGCTCCAGGACTTTCGTGTACAATTCTTTCTGATGGCGAAAAATCATTAGGGACGGTGCACGCGAAGCGGGGGCCCACAAAAAGGAGTACCCCTGCCTCGCCCAGCGCATCGCATCGCTCATGACACCACGCTGCAAAGTTTGTTTACGATTTGGTCCTGGAACAAGCCCTTTAGAAGGGCAGTCCTCGTACGATTGGTCGCATTTCTTCTTTGTCCTCGTTTTCCGAGGCTCTCGGCGCTGCTGTGACTGTTACGGGAGAGTGTTGTGGATAGGTTTGGCAAAGTTCTCAAAACGTTAGTAAATGCACGAATTTGTGCGCTGCTTCGCAAAGGTGCAGCAGGACAATGCACACCTAAGCGTCTAAGGTGCACAAAATTTTGCATCCACAAACGTCTGATTGCATTTGTCTGCATCTCTCCACAAATTTCCTTCCAGTAATTTCCATCATGGTTGTTTGTGCACAACTTTGTACACGGTAAAAACGGTTCCTGGTTTTCCCAGGAGCTCCCTGGAAATCGCCTACGTCTCTACCATAGGCTTCCTGGGAAAACCAGGTTCCGTTTTACCGTGTACGGAAATGAGCAAATGCCTAAAATGCCCAAATGGGTGCGTTGCCAAGCATACAAGTGAGCATTTTGATGTAGCACTTTGTGTGACTTCCGCACGAACTCGTGTATTTTACACGCATACTCATTCCTTGCAAAGCTGGCCGAAAACAAACAGGTACATAGGAAAGTGGTGTGGGGGAGACGTCCCATATTGCTTGTACCTATCGTAAACCCTTACTACAATTGTGTGCGAGGCCTCACAGTTTTTATGTACGAAACACAAAAATATTCGTACTTATTAGGATGTGAAGTCGCACAACTTTGGGCGAATTCACGCAGCAGTAAGTACGGATTCTTCGTGGTTTGAAACAACAGTGAGGTCTCGTCCAAAAATTGTGCAATTACGCGTGTAAGGAGTTCTTAGATCCTTGTCTCTTGTCACATGTTCTAGGGTCGAGGTTGCTAGGTTCCTAACTTGATGTTTTTGGTGGATGAGGATTGAGGGGCTCAAGAGAATGACACCGAGAACTAAATGCTTTGAGTTAAGCGTCAATTGATGCAGCGTTTGATGACGTTTTCATTGAACGTTTTCGTTGAAGTGCAATGCCGTCTCATTCATTAGTATAGGGCATTTTCGGGACGCATTGCACTTGGAATCTCCGTGCAGACCCCCCGCCACTGCAGCGTGAGGAGAGGGGTAAGGAGAGGGCCAACGTGACAGGGTAGTTCCAACTGACCTTGTGAATTCAACTGCATTTTCAGCGGATTCTGTGTTGAGTGCATTAATGAGAACTCCCCTAGGTGTGTACTCAGTCGACAATGCACCTAACTCAGTGCGCTTTCACGATGCAGTTGAGTTTCTTGTTCACAGGAGAATACTTTGCTACTTTGCACCCGAGGTTTAATGTAAGGTTAAGGGACGGGCCGAGTTTCCCTATTTGTGTCACTACACTGTTTTCCAACGAGTGAGACCGACTTTGATTGGACGCGATTGACCCGTCTAATTTGAGTCACATTTGTTGGATCGTAGCTTAAATTTAAAACGAATGTGACACGAATTTACGATTAACGCATTTAGTATCACTCACTTTGAAAACAGTGTACACTCAGCCATATTATTGGGACATTACTTTTTAAGCTTCAGACAAGGAGTGCGCAGGATTTTCTTTATTGCAGAAGGTTTCAAACGGTTGTTTAATGGTCTGCGTGGAAGATGAGTCGTATCATGACTGTTTTAATGTATTCTGATGTTAGCTGATTAAGTTAATTTATAAGCTACTAACGTGTCAGTTAATTATTGTGTTCACTTATTTTGTGTTGTGACTGGGACTGCACTGGACTGAACTCTGTTTTAACATCAACTGCCATCACGAAACATAAGAAGTAACTCACACTGTAACTTTTAACTGTGTAGGTGGTGAACACGAGGCAGGGCTCGATGAGAGGTGAAAGTACTGTGAGCAGCCTGACAGCTTCTTTAGGTCCCTGTCCCTCATCATTAGGGCGAGGGCATGTCCGATCTCCAAGTAAAGGAGACGTGCCTCGCCGCGCTGAATGTACTGCTTGATTGGCGTTTCTTCCGGAGGACGCCACACGCCATTCCGGCCCCGCGAGGCCGCGGTGGCGTGGGGTGCTGCTGGTGACCACCTCGCCGTGGTCGCCCTTCCCTTCCGAGAGGGAATGGGTTCGGCTCTAGGCCGGCTGGCGGCGCTTTATCAATTCAGTGCCGCTTCCGCGTGAGGGTGCGTACCGCCGTGGCGAGTTCTGCTTGGCTGGCGCTTGCCACACTGCTCGGCGGCAATTAGTGCTGCCGTCGTGGGGGCCTAGGTGGTGGAACACCGAGTGTTCACCCTCCCGCCCCCTAAGGGCGGTAGGGTTCTGGCTAGCCTAGTAGCCGGCCACCTCGGCCTTTGCCAAACGCAGGAATCCCATTGGTTTAGCTGTAAGGCCGCGGAGGTTTACTTGGCTGGCGTTTGCCACACTGCAAGGCACTCTGAGGGGTGCAAGTATTTCATCATCCCTTTAAATGGCCTCTACTGACCAGGAAATGTGTCAGAGGAAGGCGCTAAAGTGGTGGTGCATTATTTGCACGTCAGCTTTGTGCCGTTCGTCGTGGGGGTCGAAGTGGCGGAACACCTCAGTGTTCACCCTCCACCCCCTAAGGGTGTGAGAGTTCGGGCCAGTCTAGCAGCCGGCCACTTCGGCCTTTGTCAACTGTAAACCTTTCAAAGCCAACGACGCAAACTGCAACGTGTTTCTACGCACTAAATGTGTAGGTAGAATTTTGTACGTGTAACTTACACGATTTTTTGCATACGTGGAGTTTGTATAAAATTGTATGTAAAAATGCATAAGTCAGTGCAAATTTAAGTACAATTTTATGTACAACTGTCCATGGGGTTTAAAATCATGCATTACGACGTACAAAATTGTACACAAACATTTAGCGAGTACTTGTTGCATTAAACGGTTACTTTTAATTGCACGATGAGGTAATTAAAAGTCAAAGCGGCTGTTTTTTTTTTTGGTGCTCTGCGAGGAGGATGGCATGGGTGGGCTATTCGTTTGAGCACTTTGATGTGGACTTATTTCTGATTACGTTGCATTAGAGGTGTGGGGCCTCGTGTTTACCTTGTATCTGCACACTTAATGTCATGGACCATGTTTAGTCCCACGAGTTGGGCAATTTTAAGCACATCCGACGACAGTACAAATTTGGTCCCGCCTGCTGCAAATTGCACTTTCATAAGACTATTTGTTCCGCCTGGCAGACCCAAAATTTTATCACCATCAGATGTGCTTAAATCTGCATCATCCATGATACGAGAAAAAAAATCAACGACATTTAGTGTGATAATCGCTCAATTCGTTACATCACTGCATATTAACACTTGCCAGAAAATTCACCTTACTGACAGCGACGACATGCATAGTATTTATAAAAGCCTTATGTTAGCATTGTTACATCTCGTAGTGTAATTTCTTGATGTTTTTGTCAGCCCAACTCCACCAATGTTCTTTTTTCGCGTAGTTTTTTCAGGTTTCGCCGTTACTTGTAATTTTGAAATGTCATTTAATGTTTGTTGTAATTTTGATGTTTCCTGAAAAGAAAAATACCTTTTGTTGCATTGATTCTTATTTTCTTCAACTACGATATTTTCTGCCATTCAACATGCCTCTTCAATTTTAACAATCCCCAGAATTTTATTGCGTTTTATTTTGTTTATAAAGTCACTACCAGTCCAAGAGCATTGTTAACGTAAACCTGCCTGCACTCAGTAAAGTCTATGATGCATTCGCTGTGTGGACACGACCAAACTTGAGGTATTATAGAATTGTAGTCAATTGTACAGAAACTGTTCGTATTTGGAAGGAATTTCCTTCCTAATACGAAGCATTCCTTCGAAGAGTTAACTATGCCTTCCTTTTCTCCGAAATACAAAGCGACGCTTCATTGGCTTTACTAAATTATTTTTAAATTCCATTTTGTTGTATCAATACTTTTCTAGTTGTGGCTACAAACGATGTCCACCTTGTCAGAGGTTTGCTTGCCAACTTGCAGCAGTAATTTGCCCTAAATTTGCGTTTCTTTCCTTTACTAGAATACTGCATTTGGCTTCTTTGGATTGCATAGCTAATGACTTTTAGAGAGAATAAATTAGCAATTTCGGGACTCCCAAATCATGACATTTGGTTGCACTCTGATGCAAAAGCGGCCAATTTTTGGCATTCATAATCACCAGTCCGTGGCAATTAAACACGTTATTACGCCGTTGCGAGGACAGTTGCGCCTGCGTTTGTAGTGTCGAGCCTTGCTTGCCTTACTTGCCTCACATCCAAACCGTTCAGTTAACTTTCACAACGCGATTCTGCCTGCATGCAGTCTGACCAAGAAATGCACCCACTTCAAATATGGTAAATAATGAACTCAAATATATTCACGTGGAAAAATTGGCCGGCCGAGAGCCATTGTTCATTCACTGCTCAGCCAGTGGCAATTTGCTTGCTACTGGGTTGGCAAGCCGCATTGAATGCCAAACGTGGGGCATGAACCCGCGTAATAGTCGAGTCAGTTTGCCCGTTGTATCAGGCGTAAGAACGCGTCAGAGTTGGCGCAGTATTTAAAATAAACCAAATTTTTGCCATTTTTACGAACATTTTACACACCTGGGTTGTTTGTGGCTGTTTTCAGCCCGTTTAGGATGACAGGCGTAATTGAGGGTAATAGCTCGGTCACGGGTTTTGATAGTGGTAAAAAAATTGGCAAGACTGGAACTGAAATATTTCCCCAGCCTGCCAAAATTTGGAATTGCAGGCGGCCCAAGCGTCAAATGGCTTAGGGAGATTTCAGGTCCAGGATTGCCAATTTATAGCATTTAAGACGGCTTCCCACCCAATCACTGCCAATATCTGAGCATGACTCGCCCCCGACTGCAGCCATCCGCCCAGGGGATAGGCAGCCCAACGCACGCCTCATGGCGATACTCCGCGCGGCAGTGCCTCGCCTCGCTGACGGTCCCTCCGCGGCCCGCTGTCGGGGAGGGGGGCTGAGTGGAGTGGGGTCTGCGGCAGGCGCCCGCGGAGCGAGGAAATGAAATGAGGAAAATAAATAAATCTCTTCCCCGTCGAGGAAATTAAATACGACCGGGAAGAGACGGGGAAGAACGGCCGGGAAGGAGCACGGGGAAGAACTCACAGGGGAACAACTGTGATACACCCCTTTGAGAGAATGATTACAGCCCAAAAGGCAGAGAAGTTTGATTATTCCATCTTTCCCTGAAGGACACTAGATGGATCGAAAAAGAGGTCACTCACACATCTCCACCCACATCAAAGACGTTTCATATTCATAACTCCAGCGTTTAATAAGCTGATCTTTTAGCTTGTTTGCTTCTTTAACCTTGGCAATGCGACTGTTGGTGCACATTATCATCCACGCCAGCTCTTCCTTAGTAAGGTTATGCTGTGAAATAAAAAGAAAACTTGAAAGGACTGTACTACATCAAAAGAATAGTGTAGGTCGCACACTAGTAATCGAAGAACCAGGAACTCACCAAGGTTGTCGGAAACATGGTGCTCTTTCCACTGTGGGTGATATCAACAGGAGGAGCACTGTCGCGGAAGCCATTATTCCAAAATTCACTGAAAATAAGACATTGTACAAATTGAAAAAACTACACCAAACTGACATCTGTCAAAGTATTGACAAAGTAATGCCTGACATATTCTTAACCTTACTAAGAACCCTTTAGACCATTTCTGAACACTAACGACTCAACTCGCAATGAGAGGTGGAAAAACAGAAATAAATAGGCCCAAATACAACCGAAAATGAAATAAACTTACCACAATTCTGAGAGAAAAGGCAGAACGCTGTCACCTAACCCGTGGCAGGTTGAATGTGACGAGTAATGGTACTGTCTTTTCTATTTAGGACAAACAACAGATCAGAACTACAACTGTCACAAAATGAACATTTTCTTGCAATTGATCTTCGCGTACAAGCCAAACGCGAGCCTCACTGTGAGCAGTTCTTCGTTCAGTACCGAAGCGTCACTTGCAAACGTCAACAACACGCCACGGCCGCCATTTTCCTCGGAAGATGAGAACATACGCATAGCAAACCGACGAGTATGAGAAGCGCGAGCGTAACATTTCAGGGGTTCGCAGTTCTCTACCCTGGAGGACTCTAGGCGTGGGGTCTTCGCGTCGGTGTTTGTTTTAATGGGAGGGGGGGGGGCTGAAGTGAATGGTAAAAGTAGTGGAAAATGAATACTCCGAAGAGATCTAAGTACTACTTTTACACTCTGTCCGGGCTCGTGCAGCGACGGTACAGTCAAAAACTGGAATCTGTACGTGGGCTGGACCCTTATGTTTTAAAAACTGGATTCAGGTCTGATGTTGAGGCTATGCCCCCGGTATCTTCTAACACCATTCAAGACTACTTAGTTTCCCGTATTAGTTTTTACACTTTTGAGAGATTTCTCTCCCAGAAAGCTCTTTATGCAGGAGAAGACTATGTGGCTAGCAGTAAAGTTTCGTGCTTGCAAAGTCGAAGAGTGGGCGTAAACTTCTTACTGAGGTGCAATATAAGTATAATTAAATGAACCTTTATTTAGCACTTCACTCAATCAAATCTATTTTTTAAATGTTTGCTTTTTAACCGAAACGTCCCTTGCATTGTAGGTGGAACCATTTATGAGGTCTGCAGAGAAAGTTCCAAAAGCATGGGCCATCGTAGACGGACTTGGAATAATTGTAAGTGCTCATTGCAACTGCATGGCTGGGTTGGCGGAGGCATGCTCCCACATCTCAGCCATGCTCTTCTTTGTAAGTCTGTACAGGGAGCATGCTGAGCTTTGCTCTGTGACAGGGAAACCTGCTTATTGGGCCATTCCCTCTCAAAGATTGAAGGCAGATATGCGCCCCATCAGACAAATAGACTTCTCTACTCCTAAAAAAAATTTATCTAGACAGAAACATAATGTTGAAAAGCATGTTAATGAACCCAGTACTAAGTATCCTCGTATCTCTGAAGAGGATTTTGAAGGCGCTCTGGAGCGCATTTATTCTGCGGGCTTCCGTTCTGCTTCTCATCTTGTGTTTCATCCCTTTAGCTCAGAGATAGCTGCTGCGAGGCCCGTAACTCTAAAAAACCTGTATCATGTTGCACATGAGAGAAAGTCTCTCGAAGAGTTAAGGGACTTTGCAAGTGGTGTTGACCTGTCCATTTCAGAGGATGAGGCTCAGAAGGTGGAGAAGGAGACCAGGAGTCAGTCTAAGGGTAGGGATTTTTTCACACATAGGATAGGGAAGGCTCCTGCCTCTATATTCAAGGCTATCTGTAGAACGGCAGGGTCGACATGAGCCCCATCCCGATTGAGCCCGGATGACCTGAGCCCCGGCCAGAGCCCCGTTTGAGCCCGACTTGAGCCCCGACTCGAGCCCCGACTGAGCCCGATGGCCAGAGCCCCGACCTGAGCCCGGTTCGAGCCCCGACCTGAGCCCCGTTTGAGCCCCACTTGAGCCCCACGCCAAAAAACTTCCATTTTTGAACTTTTTAGTGAAGATATTGCAACTTTTTGGCGCGGGGCTCAAATGGGGCTCAAACGGGGCTCAGGTCGGGGCTCAAAACGGGCTCAGGTCGGGGCTCTGGCCATCGGGGCTCAGTCGGGGCTCAAGTCGGGGCTCGAGTCGGGCTCGGCCGGGGCTCTGCCGGGGCTCAAGTCATCGGGGCTCAATCGGGACGGGGCTCATGTCGACCCTGCCTGTAGAACATCCACGGAGGAGGATAAAATATCAATGTCCCTCCTTCACTCCATAACTGATCCGCATCATCACAAATTCACAACCAAAGCTACAGCATATGGGTGCAAACATGAAAAGGATGCCATCGAAAAATACAGACAGATCATGATTCAATCACACACTAATTTCAAGCTAACAGATTGTGGCTCCTTTTGCAACCCAGAATATCCTGAATTTCTTGGAACCCCTGATGTGCTTGTTGAGTGCTCGTGTTGTGACCAGGGCTGCTGTGAAGTTAAGTGCCCATATTGTTTCAGGGACCTTGATGAGAAGGGACTTCACCAGCAGCTGGAGAAGGATCTAGCAAAGCATGCTGTACAGCAATTACGGGATGAGGCAACTGGCAGAATATTGTACAAGCTGAAACCGGAGCACAGCTATTATTATCAAGTGCAGTGCCAGTTGTTCACATCCAAGAACGCTTACAGCGACTTTGTGATCTGGACACCCAACACAGACCCAATAATTACACGCACTCAACCAGACAAAGACTTTTGGGAAAAGAACTCCCCAAAAGCTGTTAGGTACATTCGAAATGTAGTTCTACCAGAGTTACTCGGCAAATATTTCACCCGAAATCAAAGGGTAATTGTGGAAGAGCAGCGGCTGCAGCTATAGTCCAGTCAAACGGTGCAAAATGACCCCCTACCATGTTAAACTATGTCGACAGTTTACCGTGTTGGTCGTTTGTCGTTGCTATGTATGACCTCCCTTTCAGTGTAGTTAACGTGGATCATATTGAGTGGCTTTCACTGTATCAGGAAAATGACAGCTTGGCAATGGTTCCTGGTTTAACTTTGAAGCACATTCTTACATCTAA